TTCATTTTGTGAAAGATCCATATTATATTGAAAAATATTCACGACGCACTTCATTTTTCAATGATTTCCAGTGCACATGCACCAATTCTCATCCAATGAAAATTCGCACGAGGGCGAGACCATGAAATAAAACTACTTCTCTGAAAAGTGTTTGTCCGTTGATAAGGCACGAAAATTTGACCGTGATGGCACTTGAGGGCGCCGAGCTGCAAAAGTTAGCTTGCCAACAAACAGCAAGGTCTTTTGTTGGCTTTTCTGGCGTAATCTGCCATTATTGTGCTAAATTTGCTGTTAGAAAATAGAGGCAAATTTCTTAAGCAATCATGTAAATGAGTTCAAAATGCATATTGTTATTTTAACGTTTTTTTTTAAATTCAAAAGTTAATCGAAATAAATAATTGAACTTGACGAATTATAAAATAACATTTAATTATGGGATCAAACTCTCACTTGCGCAAGTGTCAATTGTTATTAAAATATTTTTGACACAAAATTATTGATTGAATTTTTGTTGCGTAGTCAAATTAAACAACTACATTATTAATATTGGCTGTGATGTTTACTTCTGAGCTAATATATCAAAATCGATCAATGTCTATAAGTTATTTTGAATTTCATGACTATTCAGTGAACAATAATTGAAAGTTATAAAAAATTTGAATGTTTCAATGTTTAATTTTTATACAATTGAACAAAAACATTATTTCCCATTAAAATTGGATAAAAAATTACGTTCTATTAAACTTTTTTTTTATAATTCACTCCCATCGGGAATTTTTATTGATATTTTCCTATTTTTGTGTTTATTTACTCACTGCCATATTATTACGTAAGAAGCCGCGAGTGTTGCAAGAGCAAGATTGCAGATTTTCGCAAGCAGAGGGGCGTTCTCGTACCCCTGTTAAGCCGGGTGGCGCGGCGGGTGGATTTCGCGCATGCAGACGGCTCGCGCTGCAGATCGGGCGCGGAACGGGGTCACGCCATTGACCCTGGCTGCCTCAATGCACCACCGGCGTTCTCCATAATGTCTGCCGCGCGGTGCGCATGCCCTCGTACCTACCCTGGACCGAAAACCCGGCCGGGCGGCGGCGGCCAGCAACTGGGTCACTCACACAAGAGCCGCGACCGGCGAAATTCGCCACAGAGAGAGAGAGAGAGAAATAATTCAAGTGATGGGGTGGCTCGCTCTCGGCTGCACCCCCTCTCGCCGACCTATTTACTGCCGCTGCACTCTAACGAACTGTCTGTCTCGCTGCAGTACATAAATGCACACATACATAGAATGCTGTCTGGGTCACCCTGCAATTTGCGCAGCAGACGCTTTTTGCACTCTCGAGTTTTGTACGGCTTCTTTTGTGTTTTGGACGCTCCACCAGCACAGTTATTCAAAACAATTGTTTTCCCTTCTGAATAACGAGAATTTTTTACAATATTTTTTGCAAATCTTTATAAAACAAAAATCTTTTGGTACTTTTTTTCCTCTTTAAAACTTTTAATTTAAATAATATGGCTGGAAATTTTCTTCTATACGATAATAATTAATTTTTACTCCTCGTCAGTTCCTTTTGACCTGAGTGATTTTGATTTCAACATTTCTCATTTGTAAGAGTTCATATTATGAGACCGCGTATAAATAAATATTACTCATTTGAAATGCTCTGTAACAATTTCTTCCTCAAAATCTCTGCTCGAGAAAAATTAATAAAACTCAGAAAAATAAATATTGTATTCACCAAAATTGAAACAAAAATATTGGGTAAAGCTAAATAAAAATTAAATTATAACTTTTTCTCCAAATTTTTAGCTATAGTTTTGCTCTTAATAACAAATCCAAGGATTGCACGTTCAGATGCTAGGTATTTGCCTTGTATTTCCACAAAAAAGCTTTGTTTGTACTTTATTATTTATAATTAATTTTTTCCAATTATAAAAAATAAATGGTCATTTTTAACAATGCGTCATTTTATGAATCTGACGCTTTTGTTTATTCTTATCGTAAATTGTCGTAAATATAATTTTTTTTTAATAAATCTCAAGAATAATAGCTGTCATTATATAAAACATTTCTGCCAGAGCTACGAATCCTGTGAGATTTAATTTGGCAAAACTGGTTCTTCACGGAAACCACAAAATTCACGGCCATACCAAATCTGACAATCAGTGGAGAGGACCCTGTAAGGTTTTTTGCCGGTCAATCCAAAATTTAAATGATTTTGTGCATAATTTCAATTTCAAAATGCATTTGGTGTACACCATGTTATGAAGGTGATGGAAGCTCCCATCAACACGTGCATATTGCTATGAGAGTTTGTTGCTGCAGATTTGTTTCATATTTTTAAATTTTCTATTGAAACGTGTTGCCATAATAATTGTCACAATTATCGCGTTCAAAACGAATATATATGTACAATTTTCTGAAAGACCTAGAGAGCTATTAGAATAAAATATGCACATGGTAATGAACGTTGCACGAGGAGCAAAAAGGGAACTGTGGATAACAGTGTCAAGGTTGGCCGTTTTTACATTTGATATATATCCGCACGCGCACGCTCTTTTTTCAGTGTGATACAGAAAATGACCCTGAACGAGAGAGAAGTTTTAACACGGGAGCCAGCGACTTCCTTCCGCCCCCTATTTTTTATTTTATATAACACGAATTTAGAGCTGACCTTTAATGACGGCCAATATTTGTAACGTGGCCAAACGTTGGATAAAAGCAGCGGATACACAAGTAATAATATAAAGCGAGTCGCATGTGGGGTGAGCCAAATGTGCGTCGGGTCGAACTTTCATTATGGAGCGTTCAACATAAAAACAAATCGATGCGTTACAGTTGGAAAGTGAACTTGGAAATACACCAAAGTATTTGGTTAATGTAGCTGTTTGAGGGCAATATTGGTTGAATTTTCTATACCAAAACTATGTATGCCATTTTCTGTTCTAAGAAAAGGAATCTGGATTATTTTAAAATTAGCATTTTATTTATGTATCAATAGGTGATTTTAGGAGAATTTTTTATATAAAACAATTAGAAAATACCAATTACTCCTGGGATTTATTTCTTTCTAATTGATAAAATTATCAATCAAATATGATGTAAAATGAATTGATTTTGGACGATATCATGACTTTTCATGAAATATACAACTTTTTTAGTGATTTTAATTATAATTTTTTTTGCAAAAATGAATATCTTGAGGATCAAATAGTCCGAGTTAATAGATCCCTTTTCATTTTCACTTAAGTATAATTGTTATTTCCTTACTCTGAAATCTGAACCGATCTTGTAAAAATATCTTAAAAAATCATAAACAATAATAAATTACAATTGTATAAGACCTCTGAAATTTGAATACTCGGAACTCCCAACCAATCGATTGCACAATTTTTGCAAATTTTCACAAAAGGAAAACCCCAGCGTCTGGAAGAGTGATTCGAGTCATGGTCTCTCTCGTCATCACCCTTACAGGGAAATACGAACACGAATTCCAATCCCCAAGGCTACTTTACCACCGAATATCGTGTTTTATTTCCTTTTTTTCCCATTCGGTTCGCCCATGCACATTTGAAGAAAAAACCAGAAATGGTATAATTTGACCTTTTAGTCATCGGACACCCCGCTTCCTGAGGTTGTTTACCTGCGAGAGCTCCCCACAGCATAAAGTGGGCCACGAAGGGGACTCTCACTTTCGACAAAACGGCTGGCCCTGTTTTTTTTTTTTGTTCCTCCGCAATCCCTATATGATGTATTATTAGAGTTTCACTTTCTCTGCCGCCGGTTTCCTTTTTCTGTCCGCCCCTCTCACGTAATAGTCATGCTTTCAAGGTTGCTGCCGCCGCGTCTTCTGCCTTTTCACGGCCTCCTCGCCCGCCTGCCCGCCGCATTCTGTATAAACCGTGGGTTTGTAGTGTGTTATTTTTTTGTGTTTGTTCCTCTCAACGAAATTTGAGCGAGAACCGGGTCATTGAACCGCGGCCTTCCGAGAGAGAGGACGAAAAAATTTCTGCCCGCAGCGGCGCCGTTGGCCAAATTAAATTGTCGCACCTTTTGTGTCAACCCTTCGTTTTTGTGTACATTCGTTTTTATTTTTTCACTCTCTCGGGCGCGCGACCTTGACTTTCAATGCTCCTCTTTATCTTCGGAAGCCGCCTGGGTCACGTGATCTCAATTAAGCAACCACTCTCATTCCGAGCTGGACGATATGATTCTTACATTCAATTTTAATCCAACAAAACAAACGCGGCAAAGAGATTGTAATGTTGTGTGTATGGAAACAGCTTTTTTGTCACTCATCACGTGACCAAATCTCTTTCGAGGCCACTTTTTCTATCGTGTTACATTCCGATTATCTCTCCCAAGTTTTATTATCAAATTATGGGTATAATTCTTTTCATGTAACTCACGGTCACCTATCCATCTATAATAAATATAATTTTTCTAAAAATTCATATAAAACAAAACTGTCTTTTAAGCTCTAGGAGCAAGGACGGAATTTCTATAAATTATTTCTTTTTGTTACAAACTGGTGCTCAAGTGTTTTCTATAATAAAAAAACAGCTGTATAAAATAGTAGAAATTTTGACCTAAATAAATTTACACACCGAAAAAATGAAATCCTCCCTGTACTTCTTTTGTTTTAAATTAATAAAATCTTATTATTCTAATTCCAGCGAACTATATCTGATGAAAAAAATTATGTTATCAAAATTTGTTTGTGCAAATTCTTAAATTTTAATTAATTTTCTTGCATTCAGACAACTAGATTTTTTGCAAAAACTGATTTTGTTGTTGTCTTTTCTCAGCTTTTATCAATATACTGGATATTCTTTTAAAGAAAAAAATTAATTGAATTTATGAAACATTGAATGCGAAAATTTTGAATTCAAATATTTGACTATGAAAATTCTCTAATTTCTCTAAAAATTGCGATTTTTCCATAAAATTTCCAAACATAATTCTAAGAGCTGCAAAAAAGTTTCTTTGTGAAAATGGTACTCACCGAGATCAGGAATAGAGCTGGTGGCCTCCTCGAGAACCGGCCCTCCGACAGGCGGCGGCGCCTCCTCATCAGGCTCGTGCTTGATGGCCGACAGTTTTGGGGGCCGCGACGTGGGGGCCGGCGGGGGCAGCATGGTCGAACTGGTCACCATTTGCTGGGCGGTCAGCACCATAATACGGCCGGCAAAGGGTGCAGGCGACAAGTGATGGCGCGGGTCTCCGAAGACGCGGCTCGTTTCTGCGCGACAATTCCGACGATGTGCGGCCACCGACGCGAGGTTCGGAATAATTGTTGCGGTTGTGTGGCTTCGGTGCTGGAGAAAATTATTTGGGGGCTGCTTTTGCGAAAACGCTGTTCGCACTGCAACAAAGATGACGCTGTGGTGGATTCTGCAACAGATAGAGATAAAAACAAATAAATTTAATGAGGATTAAAAAATTTTATAATCTATTAATTGGGTCAATTTTTTATTACACCGCATTAAATATTCCTATGAGAAAATTAGAGCACAATAAGATAAAATTTTACAAAGACTTTAATTATGATTTCATAATCATCTTTTTAGATTGTCAAAATAAATATTAATAATAACAAATTTAAAAAGAAATTAACTGTGGAAAAATGAATCAAAAACGAATTTTTATTTATAAAATATTAAATTTCCGAAATTTTTTGGGTTCGGGATAGTTGAAATTTAAAAAGCTGCCTTAAATTTAAAAGCATAAAAATTCAATTATTTTTAAATATTATTATGTTTATTTGCATTCAAACTACTTAAAAATAGGATTTAATAATTAAAATAGGAAAATCAATTAAAAAAAATTTTTCATAATATTTTCAATTTTTTGTCTAACAAGAATAAGTAATGAATATAATGAAATGCATTTAATTACTCTGTATAGTTTGATATAAACCTGTACTATTAGAGCTTTGTGCAATCCAATTTGTGCATGGCCTTTCTATTTTTTTATCCGCAGAATTTACCGGTATAAATAAAGAATCACTGCAACTTAAACTCGGCCGCGCTAATTGAGAAGCTGCAGAGAACCCTTTCTTTATTATTCTCTTTTTCGTTCAATCGACGACGCATGATGCAACTTTGACTGCATGTTCCACATATCGGAGCAAAGTCACCTTGAAAAGCTACCTCGACCAAGAAGTGCAAAATCGATCGCGGACGGTTCACCGTTTATGTTTGATAAGAACTGGTGCACCTGGAGCGGAAAGGGAAAATTATATTTTTTTATACACAAATGTTTGGTTTCGGTAAAAAATAAAATTAAAAAAAAAACATGAACCAATGACACAGTGCTGGGAGAAAAGTTATCAGTTTTTTCTCCCCTCGTCGCTCTACGATAAGAAAAATGTAACCGATGGATGCGTTTCTTATTATTAACTTGGAAACGTAATGGGGGTCAACAAACGCGTCGCTCAGGACATGCAAGGTCATCATTCAAGCGCGAGCAGCGATGTGAATTGCTGCGTTCACACCCGGTGGCACTTCGAAATTATTTAGTACTGCACTAATTACTCACATCAATTTTAAAAACGTGTAATTTTTCCAGAATAAGATATTTTTCGGACAATGTTTAAAATTAAATTGTTATACACGCAGAATTGCCCCGATTTCATAAATTTTATTATAACTTAATATTATTTTGCATGAAAAGGATTGCGTAAATTATTTGACCATCAAACGATTCCCTCGGTATACTCTGATTGTTTTTAATAAAAAAGCTATATTTTGAAAGTTTTACTCCCAATGGTGGTAGCATTGCCCGGAAAACAAATAATTAATGTTCGCTACAACATGTGTGTGATAACTTTTATTAGTTTTATTATCAGCGGTATTCGTGACCTTCTTTTAGGGGTGAATGACACTTTCTTTTTTACATAATACATATAAAAATTCAAATCGAATTGGAAAAAATTCATAAAATTGAAATCTCCAATTTATGCGAAATTGAAGGGTTCTGATTGGCCACTTTCAGAAAAATTAAAAAAATTTCTAATAAATTAATTGTGGACGAAAATTTAAGGAGTTGGGAATTTATATTTTGATTAATTTTCAAATACCTCACTTTCTTTGCAAGCTTAAATTTAGAAGTCAAAATTGTTCAGTAAATACTTTTAAGTGTTCAGATCCTGGTTTTTAATTTTTTGAAGATTAAATTCAGACTTCACTGTTTATCCAATTTGTAGCAAATTTTTTATTTTGCAGATTAATAATTTTGGTAGTTTTAGGCAACACCCTTGACAAAAAGGTCCTGCAGAAAGTCTATCTAAGTTTACTGCGGTCTAATAAAAATGTCAATATTATTTTGGCGACCCTATTGTAGGTGATGTGTGATGTGACATTGATTTTTTTTTTGTGGAATATTTTGAGACGGAAAAAATGGATCACAATTTTTTTTTTAATTCCCAATGCAAAAGCCAATAAGAGGTTTTGCTCACGAAACAAAAGCTTCTCTTCTATACAAATGAAATTTGATGGATAAAGAATAAAGTAATAATGGTTATAATAATATTTATCAGAATTTTGCAGTTTTTTTTAATAAGTTAATCAACCTAAAAACTATGATTTTTTCCTACTTTGCTTAAAATAAAATTCGCCACAATCATTGAGCGAATTTTATAATAACCACGCTTCTTACTAAAGTTCTTATACAACATGGCCTTACATTGCTTGCAACGCTTGCGTGACTCCTATAGCAAGATCAAGGATGAGCGCGGCATTGAAAGATTTTACTCTCTCGCGCTCGTGCAGTTATATTGCAATCTCATTACAGAATAATGCAGGTTATGTCAGCAAGCAAATGCTCACCATTATGGCGAGAAACGCATTGTTATGCTCGGCGAGCTTGGATAACCAAACTATTGTAAATAAGTGAAAAAATAAAGCATAATATAATCCCATAATCCGTCTGCTTAGAAAAATTGAGAGAGTAATTTTACCTACAAAAGAGAGAAATGACGTTAGCACATGAAATAAAAAATATATTTTTGAATAATTTAAAAAAAAAAAATTCATTTTATACCACAAATGAAAAGGAAAAAATTTATTAAGCAAAGAATTTATAAAATTTAAATAAAAACATTTTGCTGTTAAATTACAATAAATAATGTAGCTAGAAATAATTTATTAAAATTGACAGAAAAACAAAATGTTTTAATTATTCGATTGCAGGTCAAATTTCTTGAAAAACATTTCTCAAGGGAAATTTCCCCAAAATTCATCCAAAGTAATTTGCTTTTTAATTACTCTGCTAATTTTTGTTGTTGAATTTCAGCGAATTTAAGTGAGAAAGGTTCTTGCTGCGAAGCCCTGCTTCTTGTCGGCCGCCAGCATGACCTCCACGGGCAAAAAGGTTTTTCCGGCTCGACGAAAATATGCGCGAGAACGAGTTAGCACAAGTGCAAACACGCACCGCGCGAATCGGCGCAATCAAAACACGGTGGCGAAAGTCAAGGTCGTCCCGCATGGATTTCTTTCTTTCTCGGCGAGACCGAAATTCGCGAAAGTAAATAGGGTCCGGATTTAAATTCGGAAAAAAATTGCCGAACAAACACAAGGTGCTCCTGCTCAAGGTCAACCGAAAAATACATAAACCGTCTCGCGAGAATGAAAAAAAAACATGTAAAATAAATTCGCGGATATCACTCGAGGTCGGCCGGTGCCGGACGAAATCCGGAAAGCGTTTAGACGAATTTTGGAATAATTTTGGAATTCACTTTCACTTTTCTCGTGTTTTGGCTGCCGCCGAGAGACAGACATGCAGACGACAACAACAACACACGGGGTGTCGTGTGTTGTGGGGTGGAATTCGGGCCGAAAACTCACCGGCAGACGACGGTGCGAGGGTGCGATTCACATCATCCGGCGACGAGTGCGTCAAACCGGCGAATCCGTTGGCCAATCGCTTGTCAATCCGGTGTCATCGGCGCCGCTCCTCAACGTACACACCTTCCGCCGTCGAGCGAGCGAGTTTGGTTTCGGAAAGCGAGTGTGTGCGAGAGAGAAGAGAGACCCCCCTCCGACCCCTCCGACCGTCTCGTGGCTGCTCGGCGCGCCAGCTCGTGCGTGGTCGTGACTTTAACCTTGTCCTTGAACGAGAGCAGCGAACTGCACCGAACGAGCAACGAGCAAACTAGAGCTCGATTAATGGCCGATCAAACTTGTGCCCTCGCCTTCTTATTATTTTGCTCGCAAGACAGATCGCGTTTCGGCCCGAATTTTTTATTTTGTTCAGCGGACAGGGGGTGCAGCACATTTCGGGTTGCTCCTCTTCAAACACCCCCTCAGCGGCCATACTTTCGAGTGGGGGGCGCGCGCGCTTTGGTCTTTGGCGCGCGTTGCGAATTCGCTCTCTGCGTTTTTGCACGGGGCCCCTCTCCTCTCTTTCGCGAAAATATATGTGTATATGGACAAATTTGACGCTGCAGCCACACAAAAAGCCGGCGATCGATATAATTTCTGCACACCTATTTATAGCTGCAGGAAATGTGAAAGCAGTGAATATAAGTTTGAATTATTGCAAAGTGAAATTTTTAATAATTTTTTTTTTCATAATAATGATTTATTTATGTGACTTAATTTAATCCCAATTGTAAAATGTTTTCCAAAATTTCTCCTAACGCCACTCATGAACGCAAAAGGAATTTTTGTTTACTCAGTGTAAATTCAATTTTCTTATTTTATTACTTCCATTCGGAGATTGATCCAATTTTTTCTTTGGATATTTAAAATATATATCCGTAATTTTCAAGTGCAGGTTTTTCTTAAATTTTTAGCTAGTTTCTTTTGATATTGCTGATTTTTAAATGACAATATTGATCATAAATAATTATTGGGGAATTAACTTTCAATTATTTAGCTCTACATTCATAAAAAATAATTTTCTGTAAGGAAAAAATAATTTTTAAATAATAAAATTTAACATTTGATGTTCTTGCAATTTTTCCATTATTTTCTTACCCTCTTTTTAAGAAAATTTCCAGATCAATTTTTAATATTAAAGTTACATACGGTACACTGCTATTTTTTCTATGCTGCTCAAAATTAAAAAAAAAAATAATAATAATTATATCTTATAATGTGAAAAAAGAGCTAGTTCTGCTGCACTTGGGGGAAAAGGGTTGTAGTGGGTTTTGCGAACGCCGCTCCTCCCGCCCCTGTGCCCAAAGCAGACGGGCATAGGCAGACGGCGGGGCATACCAAAAGCAGGGCGCCCGCAAGGGCAGGTGCATTTGCACCCAGCGCAAGCAGCGTCGTCGGCCAGAAAAGGAAAGAGCGGAGGAGGAAAGTATGCAACCCGGCTGGCATAGATGGCGCAGTTGTGCCGAGCTGCACCCACGGCGCCTCTCCTTCTCCTTTTACTTTGTTTTGGTTTCACTTCGCGGATGCAGATTTGGAAGAGCAAAGGATGAATGATACTTACATTCCATGGCGATTGGCAACTTAGTTTTGGTAATAAAAAAGACTGATTATTTATATAATAATACGTTATTTTAATTAAAAACAACGCAAAAACAGGTGGCAGTTTGTTTTTCTCCAAAATTTTAACATCATTAATTTGCTGCCTTTGTATTTTCTTCAAATAATTTTTCATTTTAACCTGGATTTTTTTTCAGTGACCACCCTGATGTTGACCTGAAAGGTCTCTTCAAAAATGGACGAAAATTTGTTTCATGCCTCTTACGATGTGGATTATGAACCGAGCACTTTCGGTGATCACAGAAGTGCATCTCCAGTTCAACCTTCGTTCCCGGAACGATCCCCGTCACCTGCAATCGACGAAGTAAACGAGCCTGAAGAAAACTCCTCCAAGTCCCGGGAGTCTCCTGTGAACCTCAGCCGACCCTCACCTGCGAGCACTGAAGAAGAAAAAAAGGCGGAGGAGGAATCTCATTCCCATTCAGGAAACCAGTCTGCCTTTGCCAGAGGAACCAACACTTACATCGGATGGGTTTCTGCGAAAGGTTTTTATCTTACATTTCAGCCTTTGGGTATGAAATAAAGCATTAAAAATTTCCACAGGCCACACAACTCCTTTTCCACACAACAAACGCAAAGGCAGCAGCAGTAGTTCTTCGGACGATGACGAACAACGAATGGCTCGACCAGCTTATGCAGCAACTCAAGTTACCAAAACTGTGCTTTTCGGCCGCGTCTGCCTTATAATTGCTGGAGTCTTGTGAGTTTTTGAATTTTAATTATGTTAATTCTTGAATTAAATGATTTTTTTGGCAGCTTTGTGTGGGTCTGCTATAACATTACGATGTACGTCATTAATCTTCATTGAGATGAGAATTGATGCTTTTACTGTCATCGGGAACCAACAAGGAAGTTTTTATTTTTAAGACATTTAATTTTTGTTAGTATTAATGCTCAAAAATTTAATACCTCATTTCAATATACTTAATATACAATGATATTATACAATACTAACAAGACTGACTTATAAAATTGAAATTAGTCGCAAATTATATATCAGAAAAAGCGACGGGAAGCCAAGTGAAATAAAATTTTATTACCATCTATTATTAATTAAAATAAAGCACGGTCATGAATTATTTTTTTAACAAAAAAAATCAGAAAAGAAATAAGCAATTTTTTTATATTATTTTACTTTCAAATCAAGTCACGGGTTAAGAAGTAACTTAAGGGTTTGCTAATTCTGACGCCATTAAAAAATCAATTATATTTACAGAAAAACACTAAATTACAAAGTTGTTTTAAATTAGGGCTAATGCTGTTTTTAAACAAACCTCCCACCGCCCTCTGTTGATGGTAATTAAACAAATTAAATATAACGCGGAGACTTAAATTTTAACCAAAACTAATTTAGTTTTTTTAGAATCATTCATGCTCGACATATTCTTAAAAAGTTTGTATTTTTGTAAATATAAGTTAAATTGTACCAAATTAAACTTTAAATTCAATTCACTTTGCATGGAGTGTTATTATTTTTGCTATTTTTTCTAGATCATCTTTCACATTAAATTTAATTAAGTTATTTTTATACATAGACATGTTTCATTGTAAAAGCGGTAATATTTGAAAATGAAATTAGAAAATGACAGAAATAATTTTTTACATTCTGCCACTACTCTTTTATATTTTTATATTTCCCGCCGAAATTATTAGTGTTAGACGGTCTGCGCTTTTTATAATAGTGGCGGCATCCACACCCCACCCAGCGCCCCGCATCAAGCAAATAAATTTTGACGTTTCTTTTTTACTTTGAAGACAAAACGGCGTTATAATAAGCACTTAGCCTTGTCCACGAGGGGCAGTAGGGGCACGAGGTTTAATCTCTCAAAGAATATGGACCAGCCAACAGCACCCTATGAAGCTGAGGATGGAATAATAACGCTGGCCCCTCCGCCGTACAACGAGGCTATAGGTAGCAGCTGCCAGCCTGGCGTCATCGGATGGAATGTTCCGTCAACCTCGGACATTGGAGGATTTGGAGGTGGTGGAAAATAAAGTTAATTAGCTGCTAAATCTCCACTTGACCATTTTTACAGGAAGCTCCCCCCAGCCCCACGCCTATTCTGCGGTGACGATCAGCCGACCATCGACAAACCATAACAACAAAGACGATGGATTTTCTGGATTTTTGTCACAAAATCAGCCAGGCACCGCCTCGACAAGTTGAATATAATTTAAATCATGTATTTGAAATATAATTTGAGCTACTAAAATTTGAAGGTTTGCCTTCGGTGCCTAAACGCCACCACCTAAGAAGAAGCAGTACTTCTTCCTCGGATGACCATGTACAAAGGGGTAATCGAACGACGCAAGCATCACCTGAAGTGTCCCAGTGCGGTGGCATATGTCGCTTCTTCCTCATAGTTGGTGCCATTATGTGAGTATTTAAATTTCAGAGAGGATATAAAATCCAGTATAAAAAATAAAACAATTTTTTACAGACTTGCTTGGTGGTGCTATGCACTTTTGATGCTCCATCTCGTTCCTTAACGAGGAAGTGAATAGAACTTTTTCCAATTTTTACAAGTATATTATATTAATTACTGCCTCCACTATACATGATGTAACAGAGACTGAACACAGAACTGACATAAAAATTATTCAAATATACTGCCAATAAGAGTAAAATAAAGCAAACGCTGCGTATAAACAATTTTTATAAAAATTCACAAGAAAATTAAAAACATATTGACTGAATATTAAACTATGTGTTTATTTCAACCTATAACCAAATCTGGAGAGATAGTTTGAAACAATAGTAATTTTAATTGCGATTTTGAACTGTAAGAAATCTAGAATCGAAAGAAATAGGGCAAAAATACAATCTTTTCTATGTTCCCATGTTTGAAGTCAACAATATTTTTTTGATTTTTTTTATTGAAGTACAAAACTTAGTAAAAATAAATAGCGAAAGATAGTTGAAAAGTACTTTTGATGAACACATTAAAAAAAAAATTAAATAAGAAAAAATAGGCTCTGAGATTGAAATAACAAATTTTTTACCGAAAATAAATATTATGTTTATGCAATTGCCGCAATTGCACAGCAAAATTAAGTCACGTCAATTTTCGCACATAGCGTTCCCGCCAAAAGTTTGCAAAGTGTTGCGCTCGGCTTGAATCTTGAATGCGCCGCCGAGCTGACGCCGGCCGCCGCCCCGCCCGTTGCAATTTCACACTCGCAGTCACGAACGAACGACAACAAACACCAGTCGCCGCCCACACGAAGGTCGTCTCGCAACCCTTTATCGACCGGTTCGGCAGGCAGGTACATGCAACATCCTTCGGCACCTTCTGCAGAGAAAATGCAACCACCAACGGCCCCTCCGACGTACCATGAAGCTGTCGGAGGCGGAGGAGGACAGCCAGGCTCTGTCGGATGGAACGTCCCTCACACCGGAGGCGGAGGTATTAAAAAAACCATTTAAACTCGTCAAGGACCCGCACTTATTTCATGACGTCTCAAAATAAACGTCCATAATTGCGTGACTCTATAATTGCTTGAATATGTTATGCTTCAAATCCTTATTATTTGGTCGTTATTGGAGACCAGGCATTCAGCCATACATTTAAAAAAATTTATATAAAAAACTTTAAGGATTTATTTTTTAATTAATTTTTTTGTAATAGAAAATACATAGAAGAAAACTTTGCATTACTTTTTTTTTTAATTGTTTTTAGCAAATTTTAAATTCTGAAAATTAATTTTCTTTAATTTTGTTGTATCCATTTCCGCTGATGGGTAGAAGAAGACCAGTGTTTTTTTTTTTTTTTTTTTCGTACTCGACGCCTCATCGTCACATGTTGTATCTTGTTAAGTGTTAAGAATATCAACAACTGACCTTGATGGCTGTTGGTTCCCTTAATGGTGCTGGTGCTTCCCCACCATTGGTTTTCCGCATTCGTCACGACTGCAATTAAAAAATCCCAAAAATTTTATTTTACTTTAAATAAATTCACATATATTTAGTTGCAAATTGTATTTATTAATGTACCACTGTTACTGTTCAAAAATTTTAATATACGCCACTACTTTTTACTTGTGAACAGCGCAACCAATCATGAACATCCAGCCTCTGCATCCGGCGCCGTCCCACACCGTTCCGAGCGGCCCGACTGTCCAGATGCACGTTGTCAATGTGGTCATGGTCGGCCCGAGACCGATTCACACCACTTGTCCCAACTGCAGCTCTGAAGTCAAGACCACCACCGTCACCACTCCAAGGGCTATGGCTCACCTCGGCTGCTTGGCTCTGTGCCTGACTGGGTATATTAAAAAGCTCCTATTTTAATTTAAAAAAATTAAGTCGAGAAATAATTTTAACAACCCTATCTTGGATAATCATCACTTTTTTTAAATATTTGAAATTACAAAATATTATTTAAATTATTAAAAATAAATTAATATTGATTTTTTTAAATTCCAATTTTTTTATGAAAATATTAAATTTGATTTATTTGTTAAAGATTTTGGTTCTGCTGCTGCCTGCCGTACTGTTTTGAAGCTTGCAAGAGGACGGAGCACACATGCCCCAACTGCAAGGCGTTGATCGGCGTCTACAACGGCTAATAAGGAATAATTGATTCAGCTTTGTCCAATCAAAATATATATTATTTTGTAATTCACCGTGTAGCACCGGAAACGTATATTTATGTCAAGCAATCATGTAACTTGGAACACAAGCCAAAAATTGAGTTTTGCCAAACCTCGAAACTGCAGCGCCTCTGTCCATAGTATTTCCAATACTATGTGAATTTCCTCATTGTCACTCTTGATATTGTTATACTCTATAAATACTAACAAAATATATTATGTTCTGCCAAAGAACTGTCTCGTAAAGTTGTAATGCTCGATTAATGTGAATGTTCCTTTTATTGCCATGTGATCTTTAAGATTTCCAGTAGAAATTACATAACCAGCTTAGCTTTTTTGTTTTTCAGCTGACTGAATCATGACATTGGATTTTTTGGAAAAGTAGGAATTATTATTTTGAATAATCGTTTTAAATTGTTCTGATCATGCATCTGCCATTTCATTTTCTAGTAATTCGAACTGTACAGTATTTACGGTTGTGAATACTTAAATGTCATTAAAAGGTTCATAGCTTTTATTTTATTTTTTTGTTGCAACTGCGAGTGCTATAGAATATGTGCAAAATATTTTACTCTAGTACTTGATATATAATCACATTTGTACACTTGATAGGATTGAAGAAGATAAAATAAATTTCAACACAATGTAAATCCTGAATCTGAGTGTTTGAATAAAATATCTGAAATACGAATGTAAAGCCAAACAGCGTCGTTTATTAAATCTTTCTTTATCAAATGACTACTACAATTTTTGTCTACGGAATACAACGGAAAACAAGCAAACATTCATATCGACCAAAGCGTATTTTGACACAAATAGAATCACAGCAGAAATAATAAATTAATCGATTATCTCGTAACGCTACATAACAATTATTTAACCATGAACAACTTTAAGCAAATGTTTACACAGAAAAGAACAGACGCGGTACAGAGGTGTTATTTAATTAATGTTCCTAGAAAGTGTGGGCATTTCTGCAAACTCCGCAGCCCAGGGCAAATTCCTCCCCAGTGGTGGGGTGTTTGATGTGCAGCGGACACTCTTCTCCCTCTAGCTGCTTTGCTCTGGGTCCTAAAATAAATTTTTAAGTAAAAATTTTTATATGAAAAATAAAAAACTTGCCAGCAGGACAGTGCGGAAGTTCGTGTTTGGGCAGGTTGGTTACACGCTGGAAGTCATCGTGACAGGCGTTGCAGAAATGGGTTGTTCCAAAGCAGAAGAAAACTGCGACGGAACAACAGTAGCGGCACTTGTACTCTAAGAAGTCTGTCCCGTGCTAAAAAAAATATAAAAAATTCAAATTGATTAAAAATTATACTTTTAATTTAAATAAAAAAAAAATTTGCTGTTAATTTGTTAGTTTTTTTCTTTTTTTTTGTAAATTTTAGTGTAGAGTTATGTTGTGTTTTTTCTGAATCCACGTTAAAATTTCTTTGGAAAAAAAATTATTTTTCAGCTGTATAAAAAATTTGGTAAATTTAAAATTGATCATAAAAAATGCTTAAAAATGATTTCGGTTTAATTTTAATATTAATGTTTCTTAGAAATAATGCTTATTTAAATGATATAAAATTGCCTGCTCATCATTATATTATTCAACATACCTTTGGGCACATTTGGGCTCTGGAGACGTCGCTGCAGGCACCACAAACAAGTTCTGAAGGGTCGTAGTCCTCCGTAATTCCAGCGTCGGCGTCGCACCTCGCCTCTCCACCGTAATAAGCCTTGAATAAATTTTCAGTTACAATTTCCTAAAAAAGCAGCTGTAAAAAACCTTACTTTTTTGCACTTGAAGCAGACGTAATAGGCGTATTTGTCCATGGCGTACGCTGCCGGGTCTTTGTAAGACCGCCCAGCGCGGCTGAGGCCTTCGTATTCCAAACGCATCAGAGCCTTTCTCCTGACATCGTCGTACAGTTCTCTAATGGGGTTTAACAATGACACCAAATTTGGATGCTCCACGTCGCTCTGAGGACATAATTAAAAATATTAATAGGTAAAAAAAATTAGGTAGATAATTAGATAAGAATCAAAAGAAATAAATGCATTAATTTTTGTATTATGCTCCACAAAAGGAGTAAATATGTAAAGAAAAATTAAATAACTTATTTCAGCGGCAGTTAAAAAAATATCAATTAGAACTGGAAAATTCAATCAAATTGAAGGAATTGAAATATTAAATATGCTATTTGTGTGTGTCAAAATTAAAATTAAAAATTAAATATTTTTGCCTCTATAAAATAAATAGATAAATTTTAATTTCTATAGGTTCCATTTTTAAATAATTCAAGTGTGTCTTTAAAGTGTAAATGCAAAACTGAGACGCGTTAAAAATGAAACCAAATATTTTATTAAAGAAATTAAATTTAAAGAAATCAACAATATATAAAAAAAAATACCTTGCAAATGGGACACTGGGAGAAGCCAAAGGTGATTCTAGGTCCAGCCCACCTCTTGCTGAGCGCGTTTTTGCAGCAGTGCACATGGAAAACGTGTCCGCACTTTAGCTGGACGGCCGGGGCACAGGCCAGTGCGTCCGTGAAGCAAATCATGCACATGTCATCGGCGTCCTGCTTCAGGCCGGGCTCGTTGGAGCAGCCGTGTAGACAGGGCAGGCAGGGCGCCTCACCCTGAACGCCACCGCACATGTGGCCGCACCCGTGCAATCGACTGCAAGCGTTTCTAGCGTGCTCCTGGCACTCCTGGTCGGCGCACACGTTCCCGATGGCCAGCAGCCCTGAAGACCCAGTGGCCCCGCAAAAACGGCACACCCCCGCGGCCACTGTTCCGGCCGCCTTGGCCCGCGTGCCCCTTTCACGGAACTCGACCAGCGCCTTCAAGGTGCTTGAGTCGGCCAGCGCCAGCAGCCAGAACAGCTTCGTCCGGCCGCACCCTTCGTGCAGGTCCACCTTGATCGCCTCCTCCTCCTCTTTGCACACCTGCCGCTGGTGCAGCCGCGTCCGCCGGTGCAGATGCAGAATTCGGTCGCACTCAGCACAAAGGTTGCCGCACGCGTTGCATTGGATTATCGCGGCTGTTTCACTGTCGTCGTGGTTGCTGCACGTTGGCTAAAATTTTCAACAAAAAGAATTAAAATCAATTTACAAAACTTGATAAAACTCATGTTTTATTTTAAAGAAAAAAAAAATAACTTTCCAGCTCAAAATTTGAACCTTAACCTAATAATAATTAAATTGTAACGAGGAGAAATTTATCGAAAAAATAAATCAAGAAAAATATTAAATATTTTTTCAGATGTGATTATATTTTTTTAAAAGAGTTCAAAATCATATTACACTATTTTAAAAACTTATGTATTTAAAAAAAAATCTGGTTTCTCCTAATTTATGATGAATTTTAGATAATCTTACCCTTGGTGTGGTTGGTTGTCCTTCGGCGGCGCTCCATTGACCAGATGAAAGTCTTTCAACGTGGTCAGCGTCCAGAACGCACAGAGAGGCCAGTGCCAGCCACAAAGTTGGTGAGGCCAAACATTGCTGCGGTGACCTCGAGGATTCCGGCAACTTGGTAAGGTTCAGGATGTTCTCCGCCACAGCACCTTTGGTTACATCAGCCCAAGCTTCTGACAACTTTCCCTGTTCAAAATACTGTGAGTGAAAGAAAATTTTTTAAATTTCAAACTCACCGCAGCCATATCTTTGAGCAGACTGATGATCCCGTCACTAAGTTTGCGCGAGTTGCAGCCCCGCATCCACCACCGGCCTTGGCTGGGAGCGGACTTAATGGAGGTGGCCAGGGAGGCGGTACTGGTGCCTTTAGCCTGGCTCTCCTTGCCACCTCCTTTCACTCTCACCTGAACCGTCAATGACTTGGCTATGACGCTCAGGAAAACGTCCAAAATTCCCATTCTAAAAATAAAAATTAGAAAAAAAAATCAGAAAATTATTATTTCTTTTACTTGTGCATGTCAAACTCGGATTCAGGGTGGCCGTTCTTGTTTGAGGCAGTGACAATACTGAAATCTGCTGGTGGAAGTCTCTCAACTCCAAGGATAGCTGCTAATTGCTGAGGTAAAACTTCAGGCAACATCCTCCTCAACAGTGATGTAACCTGAGTAAAATTGTAAAATTTGTAGCATAATTTTATCCATAACTGAATAGAAAAATTATACTTGTCTCTGGACCCGAGCCGATCCGGTGTGTAAAAGGCTGAGCAAGTCCCTGAGCAGGGTTGACTGCTGTGAGAGATAAGCCCTACCCACACTGGAGCCACTCAGGGCCAACATCATGGAGAGCATCTCAAAGCAGTAAGTGTCAGACACAATTTTCTCCCCAGTTAAAGAGTTAAGCTGTTGCGTTCCAGCTGAGCACAGGAAAGCTTCCCACTCTTCTTTGACTCGGCTGCTCTCATTTCTTATTGCTTGCACTATGTGCTGACAAACCTGAGGAAAAATTACAATTAATTTTTGTATCAATAGGTTAAATTAACTTTACTTGTCTCTGAAGGTTGGTCAGTTTGCTCCTGCTAAAGAGTATTCCAACCATGTGCTCTCTCAAATCATTGCTTTCCTCAACCTTTGTTGTTTCCCCAGCTTCGGCCAAGCCGTCTTCAGGAGCCTCGTCCATTTCAACTCCTTGAATCAACTTTCCAAACACCTAAAATATATTTAATAAGCATTGCTTTATTCCAATTTTATTGAAACAAACTTGAGAAGTGATGAGCCTGAAGACTCGGAGAGTCTCGGCCTCACAGTTCTTCTGCTGAATGGAAAGAGCGCTGTGCTGCTTTTGATTTCTGTTCAACACTTCTTGGCCTTCAAACTCTCCAAGGATCCGCACTTGTCTGACACGGAGTGTGTTGTCAGGCCCTCTGAGCTCAATTCGGATTATGCTGTGATGGTTGTCTGTAAAAAGAATGTACAGTGTAATTAAAAACTTCACAATTTAAAAAAAAATTACCTGGAATGATGCTGGAGATCCATCCTGAGTATCTTGTTTCCACATCGATCTGAGTGAGTTTGTATAGCTCCTCTGCATTGGGCCCTGACTGGAAGGAGATGGTTGATACCTTGTTGGCCAGGTCCCTGCAGTTGTCGATGTGAACATAAACCATCTTGGGCCATGAGTTTTTAGCACAGGTCACAGTCAGGAACTTTGTCTTGTTTCTGTCCTCGTCCGACGATTCCCAGAATGTTTCAGTTGAAGAGTCAGTGAGGCTAACGACCATTGCTTGTCTACTGGAGGCTTTGATGTCCACATTGCTGGTCAAGTCCCTAAGGGTCTCCACAAAGCACGGGCCACTTGCTATGGCAGAGATGATCGAGTGGTGACTTTCATCAAATGCCTCCTCCTATAAGCACAAAATTTTTAGTTAATTAATTTTTAATAGTAACAAATCCAAACCTCTTCAGTTCTGGAGAGAATTTTGCTGATATTGCTGAAAACATGGCTTCTATGCAGGAAACTGTGGTCAGTCTGTCTGAACTTGATGCCCCAGCATCGGACCGCCATCTGCTGCAGGGCAGAACCCATAGGGAGAAGCAGCATCAAGTCAGCCACTGCTTGCAAAAGGCTATGGAAAGCTGAGGGCAATGGTCTGACGGCATCTCCAGCAACGGAGAGGTCACTCAAAGGGTGTTCGCAGACGGCGTGCAAATCAAGATCCTCAAACTTGCCAATTCTACCAAACTCATTGTCCATTGGCTGTGAAAATAAATTGAATCAGTAAGCTATGAAAAATATAAAATCTTTTTTTAATTGAAATAATAAATTTTTAAATTTTTTACAATCAAATTTTAGGGAAAAAATGTTTGTCTTACTGTTAAAAATAAATTATATTTATTGGAAATAAAAATGATAATTTGTAGAAAATTTTTCACCTGTTCTGCAAAGGCACGGCTGTATTCAGATGCTGGGGTCAAAGCGGCAACAAACCACCACAAGAGATCATGCAGACAAGTGGGTTGAGTGACACTCCTGAGGAGCCACGTCAGCGCCTGCATGGCGTACACCCTGCAGGCTGCCTTTCTGATGCCCTGCTTCATTGCCAGCTGCAGACTGTCTAGGTTGTGTTGTTGCATGACAAACTCCATCACCGGCCGTTCCATTAGCTCGCAGTTTGGTTTTGGAGCGTTGTTCTCGTCGGTGGACTGAGTGCAGGTCAAGTCGAAGGGCACCAGTTTTTGCAGGGCTGCCGAAGGGTGGCAGAGGAGAGAGCTGCCAGCCTCATTTGGTTCTCCACTAGAGTTGTTCCTTTTTCGAACCAAACGGCCACTCTGCCAGTCTTTGGTGCCCATCGAGATGGACCGGTGAAAGGGTCGGCCTCGAAGGCTGTCTTCCGAATCACTCAATGGGCAGTCAGACACTGGTCGGACACCTTTCGACTCCACTCCTAATTTTTTTTTTTTTACAAGAAAATAAAAGTTTAGGTTACATTACAAATTGTTATAAATTATAATTATGAAAATATTACCTTCCAAATATCGATCGAGTCCCTCCTCTCCATTTTTCCTGAGAGTTTCGGCCAGCAAATGCTCTTCAGCAAGGTGTCTAACCTGCGCTGGACTGACCCCCAAGGTTGACAAGCACTGGAAACCTGGCAGTCCAGATGGCAAACTGGGAAACGGTCCATCCTCTTGCTCCAAAACGGAGGGCATCCCGTGAGGACTCCTTCTCATCGGAGGAGAGCAAGGCGGAGGATCTCTCGAAGCAGCACTTGCCAACTCCAGAAGGAACATGGCATTGTTCTTCATGACAACGTGGCTCTCCTGCAGCATCATTGGAGAGAGCAGTTTCGAAGTTATCTTTTTCTTTGACTTTTTGTGTCCAGTCAAGGAGTCTTTCCGCTGCTGCTTCCGCTGTTTCATGTAGCGCTCTCGACATGTGTCACAAATCAAGTACCAAGTACTTCCAACTGGTTTAAAGATAATTAGTGAATCATTTTCTTAAAAGAAATATTACAAACCTATTCCTCCGTCTCCACAATTTCCAGCCCACCCAACACAGAAATTGCCTCCGGAGTTGTAACCCTTGCCGCCTGCAGATTCACCACAACCTGGGTGGCAGCTCTTCATGTGGAATGTGATTGGTTGAGGAAAAGAGCCGCCACAGAGCTCACAGACCGTCTCTCTTTGAGGTAAACCAGGCAGTCGCCCTGAAATTTCCTGAGATTTTGCACCTGCAAGGGTGACTCTGCCAATCGGCCGCCAGTCTTTCTTTTTCCGTCCTCTTTTTTCAATCTCCTTCTTGTCCTTTGAACCTAAAAGTCAAAACTTCCATAAAATCTTTTCACTAAAATTTTATTAGGTTTACTTGAAGGCTGGTTAGTGGAGCTCTGCATCGATTTGCTGCTCTCGGGTCTTCTCAAAACGACCGAAGCTGTCATTGGAGAAGACATGACCTCTTGCCGTTGGATGCTGCGCAAACAACCTTTGCTCAGCTCCTCCCAAAGAAGGACTAGAGATCTGAGTGCAGGTGGTAGAACGGTCACGGCAGCTCCAGCCGTTGCTCCTAGTTCAGAGGTTGGCTCTTCTTCTTTAATTGCACCTGCTGAGTCGTGTTTCTTTCTGCGATTTGCATTGGCATTTGCAGCACATCTGTAAACAAAAATAATAATAATTGTGTAAGCTTTGGAACTATTTAATAGAAATTAAAATCTGTCTAAATTTTACAAAATAGAATATTGTTCATTTTAAACTAAACTAACACAGTCAAAAATTCAAAAATAATTATGCTATAGCAAATTTTTCCAAGACAAACTGCTCCATGTCCAATCGGCTAACTTTCATATAGCATGATGTAACAGGATAGGAGACGCATATTTGGGATGTTTGATATGTTAAAAATTTATCAATACTCATATTAAAATTAGTCAATTTTGAATTAAACCCTTTCAAATCCAATGGACTCTACAGTCTACGGCCCCACAACAAAAAGACGCAAACCCAGATCTGAGGGGTGCCATTCCACTTTCGATGGTAATGAAGACCAAGCTACGCAAAATTACTGGAAGAACATCCTTAAAAATTAATTGCCTTCCACATAGCCCCCCTCCTTCTTGGTTTATTTTGCCGCCTACCAACTGCTATTTCACAAGATATTTGGAATAAGTTAGACTATCATCCATGGAATAGTTCAATTTGGAACAATTTATCAATAATGAATTCTTCCATTTAAAAATTTTATTATCATTTTACCTCGTGAGTGTCTCCAGTGTGGATGGTTGGATGTGCAGGTAGTTGCTGGCAGAAACTTCCACCGAGTGTCTCTGCTTGATTTTGTCAATGTTGGAGCTCAACGAACTTTGCTGCCTTGTAATCACAAGAGCCCCTTGTTTTGGAAGGCCTGGGTGGAACTTCAAGAAAGAGGCGCAGGCCATGGCATCGTGGACCAAACCCTCATGCCAAAGGAAGGCGGCAAAAACCGCTCTCAAGCACTCTGCTACAGAAGGGGCGATTGCTTCTTTCACAGGCTCTTTTGCTAGCGGATGAGCAGGACTGGTTCCTAAACACAATTATTTATTAAATCATGCACCCAATTAATTTAAGAAAAATTACCCCTATTTCTTGACCGATGGTGATGTTCCTTTGGAGAATTGGCTCTTTTACTGCGACTGCCTGAGCCAGCCACTCCTTTTGAGCTTGACCGCTCCTTCCTCACTGGCTTTGGTGAAATCCTGACAGGGACGGCAGTTGCTGCCCCAAGACTGTCCCCCACATTGAAATGCAAGGAGCCTTTCAAACTCCCTTCTGGACTGGTTTGCGTACCCATCTGGGCCAGTTTTGGACTTCCAACCTGCTGCTCCTAAAATTAGAAATGAATTTGGAAAATAAATTATTATTATCATAATGATTTACTTACTATCAATTGACTGTGCAGACTATTCGGACTCTCAGATCTCATCTGCAGAGAACTATTACTCGGACTGTGGGACAAATCTCGGGTCAAAGACGACAACAAAGCACTTGTGTCACTTTGGGTTGACCCTCGTCTGCCACTGTCTGCAGTCACCATATTTCCAGGAGCTGAAACTTGGACGTCATAAAGTTGCAGCTTTAATTCTAACTAGAAAATCAAATCTAACTACCTAATGGGGACACTCCAATACTTTTGGGGGAACCGCCACTGCTTGCAGCGCTGTCTAATTTGCCTAAAAATAAAATCAAAGAAATCAGAAAAAGAAGCCAACTGGAAATACAAAGCACCAACCTGGTGGGATGGGAACGGGGCTTGAACTTCTACTGCCTGCGTGGTGCGCAAGAATCGAAGCGGTGCCTGGCAAGGGGGTTTTGGGACTCGAACTACGACTGGGCCTACGAGGGGTGCCAGGGGGTGTCACTCCATTGCCGTTGGCCCGCGACTCACCGATTGCCTTGACAAGATCTTTGACAGAAACGCCCATCAGCTCTGGCGGCAGGTCTTTGCTTGACATGCCAGTCGCACTATAATTTAAGATATTTTTAGTAAGAAAATATTTCTAAAATAAAATTAAGAAGACTTACACTTTGACTGTTGGACCAGGTGGTGGTGGTACAACTGGAGGAGAACCCCTGGTGTCAACTATGGTAGGGGCTGATTCTCCCCGGAGCCACTTATTCAGAGCACTGAACCGACCAGAACTGACGGACTGAGGCTTTGGAGCAATTTCAGGTTTCAAAGCTGTTGGGTCAGGACAAATTTTGAATTTCAATTTATTATATTTTGGTGTAGTACTGACCTTTTGAATCTAAAGAACCAAACACAAATGGATTTCCAGTAGTGCTTCCGGCAGACCCTGTATCTTTTTGGGCAAAAGCGAATGCTTCAGATCGGGTTTGAGCTGAAAAGTCGAAAGGCTTCCTAGGAGGCATTGCAAATGGGTGCTGCTCGGAAGATGTCCTTTCATGCCTTCCATCTATCATAAGGTGGAAGTTTTTATTTCTGAGTTGCATAATTTTCTTCAATATTTACCTTTGCCAGACTCATTCTGCAAGTAGACAACATCTCCTTTGCTGACTGCCAAGGACCACGCCTCTCCATCTGTATTGAAACAAAACTCCTTCATACTTTCATGGTCCAGCTGAACCCATGTTCCTTCATGGTTTGCCTCCTAAAATATGGATTCATTTGTTATTGTGAAATTGTATCTAGTTTTTATTTCTGTCAATATAAATATTAAATTATTTACTTCTGTTCGATATATCTCTGTGATAAATCAATAAGCATTAAAAACCAATTCAGCTGAAAATTTACTTACATCTGCAACAACAACAACCCTGTTTCCAGAGACAAGCATTCCAACAGGAGGCGCTGTCATGCTCGGTCTGCTCCGAATGTTGTGTCCCGAAGCGCCACACTTGATGACATTGTAAAAGCCAGGGCCTCCACTCGCCACTTGTGCAGACAGTTTTCTCTCCTTTAGAGGGCTTTCGTTGGATGATGCTTTCTTGACAGTGACCTTTCGGAAACTCTCCTCAGGCACCGTTTTCGGCTCTTCAACAGGCACCAGAAGAGTTTTGCCCAGGTGCTGGTTGTATTGGAGGCACCAGGCTTCAGGGTAGCCAGAGGAGGAGCACAGTTGGCGCACACACTCGTTGCTCAGTCGCACCCAAACCCCGTCGTCATTGTGAATCTGACAAGAATAAAAACATTAATTTTGAAGTGAAATAAATCAATAAATTACCTCGTCCACAAAACTAATGATGCCGTTGACAGCAACGGTGCCAATATGTTCACTCTGGAGAGAGGGATGAGATCGGATTCTCAGCCCAGCTGAATACTTTGCAACATATTTTCTTAGTCTGCTTGGCTGATTTGGGGTCTTTTTAATGACAGTTGTTGTAGGAGGAGCAACTCCTTGAGGAGCATCTTTCACTTCAACCCGATAGGCCTAAAAAATTAATAATAATTACATTATTATCATGAAAAATAAATTAATCAATTTTATTTGCAGCCAATTAGCAATAATATTTCACAACAAAACATTTGCATAGTTTATTCTATTGGTTCGTCCCTTTTGATTGTTGACACCCATATTAATGAAGGAAGGAGACAAATCACCTTCCTGTTTACTTCTACAAACGTGATGTCATAAAAATACAAATTGCACCATGCATGTATGATTGATTAAATTTTTATGTGACCTCTTCGAGTGGATATCCATCAATGGTGACGAGCACCATGTACCAGCCGGTGCTGGCAGGGGTCCAGGTGGCACTGTACGTCCCGTCTCCGTTTGGTCTGACCAACATGTTTTCACTGGTCCTCCGCAGGGTTGGTGACATAAACCGCAACTCCTCAAACGAGTAGTTCTCGTACGACTAAATTATCAAAAAAAAAATGTTATTAATTAAAAATAAAATATAAAAAGTGGTTTACCTTCATGATGCTGATGGAGTGGTAGTGCATCTTTTCCTTGACTGTGACCTCGTAGGGCACCTCGAGGGAGGGTTGGGGGTGCCCTCCGAAGGAGAGCGCGTCAGGCATGCTGATTCTGCGCGATCTGCGGTTGACCGCGGCCGATCCGTTTGTGGCCGCCTCAACGTTGAGGTCACCCTTGTCAATCGGACTGGCTTTTACTTCAATCTGAGGATAAAAAAAATTAAAATGAGAGAAAAAATCTTTAATCATAAAAGTATTAATGAATAAATAATATATTCCATAATTTGAATGAAAATTTAATTTTGAATTATTTATTTTTCCAATTACCACAGAATAATTATAAAAAATATAAAATTCTATTCTTTGTTAATAAAACTAAATTTTTTTCTAATATAATTTGAATAATTTAAATAGTTAATTTCAGAGTTTTGTCTGGATATACCTTCAGATTAGGGGCGTTTACTAGGTGCCCGTATTGGTCTTTGCTGAGAATGGTGACGATCGCCGGCCACCCGCAGCGCATATCCTCCTTTGAATAGAGAACCTCACACCGCCGAGGCTCGACGAAGGACTCAGGCTGCAACCATCGGGCCAGACGTCCGCCACTTGTCCCAGGAGTGCACTGCACCAGGTCACGCAAAAACTGCCTCTCTATTGACTGGCAACTGAAATCAGAAAAAAAGATAATTAATTAAAGATCAAAGAAGCGACCACACGCGTTGATTGTTATAAAATTTCTGAATTAATTTCAAAGCGCGGTATCAATTAAGAATGAAGTTTCCCTTTGCATTTGTAAAAGGCTCTGAAATCCACGATGCCAACTTTTAATTGGGTGCTAACGCGCGGAATTTCAGCCCTTTGGAAGAGAGATTAGTAGATTACGACCGGCAAAACACAATGGGTGCTCAGAGGATTTCTGCGGCAGATTGCTTGAATTCCTTTCAATTAGGTGGCACTAAAGATTTCAAATTTATAATCTGGCTCAAAATGCAAAGGTTTTTTTTATATTAAGAGGATATTGATATTTTAAAATATCAGGTTTTCAATATGTACAAATAATTATATAAATGAAATAATTATTTATATATAACAAAAAACATTTTTTAACTATATACATTTATATTATTTAAAAAAAATTTCTTTCAAATGTTTAATAAAAAATTTTAAATTTTAAATATTTCTTATAAAATATAAATTTAAATTCGCTCTATTAATTACAAATTACATGGGAAGATCAGTTGCAAAAAATATTATAAATATTATAACATAAAAATTATTATTTTATGTCCATTTTTTAAAACATATTTTTCACAAAATTAATCTGATAAATCAATTTTTAAATTCAAAAAGACACCATCCGCCAGAATTGAGCTAGGAAGAATATAAAAAAAATTAACAATTAATTTTTTAATTAAAACTGAACATTTAAGCTTACCTCTGGTTAATAAGCAGTGCAAATTTAATGAGTATATTAGTATCAAATAGAATTTCTTGAATTAAAATATTGCAAATTAAATAAATAATCTACAATGGCATTAAAACAGTTTTAAAATATTGAAGAATTGAATTAAATTTTTAAAAAAGCCTAATAATTCCATCTATTTAATTCATAAATGAATTTAAAAAAAAAACTTTAGCTTGTAAATATTATTATTAATTTATTGTGTTTAAATTGCAGTAATAAGATAAAAAAAAAGATATCTTAAAAAAAAAAAATTATTAATTTAGTTTTAAATTTTATAAATTTAATACCCTAGATATATAGATAAACTTAATTTAAGAATTGATTGAAAAATTAAATGTACAAATAATGTGTTTGAATTAAAAAAATATATCATTACGATTTTTTTTTTTAATTTTATGATATGAAGATTATTGAGAAGTTGCATGAAGCGCACAGTGGGGGCGCGCGAGTGATCGCGTGTCGGCTTGGCCGCCGGGCCCTCGGTCGGTCTCTAAGGTCTGTGTCTGTCGCTTCGGCAAGCAAGTCAGTTGAGCGAGTGCGTCGAGTGTGTGCGTAAGTGGATCGGCCGATGCGAAGTGAAGAGAGTCGGCGGTGTCGAAAATTCGGTCGGACAGTGCAGGGACGACGGCCCGCCGCGAGGAGCATCGTCGGCCGCCGGGCCATGAGCCGCCCGGCGCCGCCGCGATGACCCGCCGCTGACCATGGGCCCAAGCGTGGCCGCAGCGCTGCTGATGCTGGCCGCCGGGCTGGCCGCCGCAGAGTCGGCGGCCGCCAACATGCCGGCCGTGTGCACCGAGGAGCCCGGCTGCAAGTGCACGCGCATGGCCAACGGCTTCTGGGTGCAGGTCGCGTGCTCCTGCACACCTGGACAGGTCAGTTGGCCCAAAGGGCACACGACAAAGAGGCCGAATTGAAATAAAACTTTTTTTGAAAATTTGAATTTGTGACTGGAAAGGAGCTTTAAATAAACTCTTGAAAAAAAAAATTTGAAATAATAATAAATCAAAAGCAATATAGGGAAACTCTGATTTGAATTTGAATAAAAATCCGTAGAATGTTCCAAATTATGAAGAAAACATTTATTAAAAAAAAATTATAAATAAATAAATATAAAAAATTCCAAATAATTTTGCAGTAGAATTAATTTGAAAATTAATATTCAAATTAATTTTGCTCATTTTTTCATTTTCATTTTAATTTTCTTTATTGATTTATGAATATAATGATCCGTAACTAAAAATAGAAGACTATTATAAAAAAAAATTAATTTTATTAAAACCAGATTGATAATAATTGAAATAAAATCTTTTCACAATCAGAATTGAATATGAACGCAATTTTAAAGAAAACCAAGAAAGAATTACACACACTTTTTAAAAAAAAAATGCGTTAATATCCTTTCGTAATTTCTTCGAATGACAATTAATCAAGACTCTAAAAGCGCGACTGGTGCAAGTTTTTCAGCAAAAGCACGCGTTCTGAGAAGCAAACTTGTTTGCTTTTTGAGTCAGCCCTTGTTACTTATAGAAAATGATATGGCAGACCGCACGGCCGTGGAAGGGACTTTGATGCTGGAATAATTCATAACCCGAGAAAACTGGTCTCGCCGAATGCAGAAACAATCGAGGAAAATTATTGCTAAAAGTGCGGACAAACCTCCAAGGTCAAAATATAACGGTTTACACAAAATAAAAAGCGAATCGCCGAGGTCAAATCCGTGTTGTGATGGCCTACTTAATTTTAAAGTTTAACCCAAATAGAGGAAGAAAGGAAAAAACGCCTTAGTTAGACTTGCGGACATACAAAAAATAAATTTTCCAACGGAATTAATTTTTCAAACAACAAAAGCCAGAGCAACCCCTCTTGAAACACCTGCCAGACACGCGGGCCACCCCCTCTAATTTTCGTCCACCTCCCTCTCCTCTTTGAAATTATTCGCGGAGAGAACAATAGTGGATTGGCGAAATAAATTTATTTAATAAACAATCGCCATTATAGAGCTCATTTGCATAAAGCAGCGAGTGATTCACTCGGAGAGGAGCAGATGTTGTTTTTGTGTGGTGCGTTTTGCGTTGGAAGCTTGGGATGTATAAATGAAAGTTGAAAAGGGCTTATCAAGTTCGAGAGAAAGACTTGAATCCGATTCTGGCCGAGACACGGAAGAACGAGCAGATGTTTGTTTTTAAGTCTTGATACAAATTATTATTAAATTATAATTTTAAAAAAACTGAAAAGGAATTAGAATTTTATTTTGATTGGGAAAAATAGTTTTTTTTTATTAATTATTGTACAATTGATTTTTTAAATAGATTTTTTTACCATTTATAAAACAAAAATATTGTAGTACTTATTAATAAAAATCCTCATTTTTTTTATTCTCAATAATTTCTGTTTCTTTTTTAATGAAAATTATATTTTTGAAAATAGTGCATCTAATTATAAAGAATGATTTTTTTTTGTTCTTGGGAATGCAATGATAATTGTTTGTGGTGGCTGCTTGTTGCACACTCGCCTCAACTCGAAAGGAAGTGAAAACCAAGAGGGGGCAAAGAGACAAGGGCCAAGTTCAAGTTTCCTTATAAACACACGCAGCAGTGATATGAAATCGACTCCCTGTTGTAAAAACCTCATTCTTTCATGCTCATTATGCAAAGTTCTTTTTCTTTGTGGTCGAAAATAAAATAAAGAAAAAAAACTCTAGTCCGGCGCCTCGCGTGCGAAAATTCTTGCTAATGGTCTTCTCTCTTAGGTTCTCATCACTCATAAAACATAGCGGCGTGACTAATAGTTTTCGAAAAGGACAACAGCCAGCCACTCTCAGACGCGTTCGGCAAATTAGCTGAATATTAACGAACGACGAGCCAATCTTATCTCTTCAAAAAGCATTAAGATGAAGTGAAGCTTCAGTTTCCTTGTGGCGAAAAAGGGAACAGACAAAAAAAGCTTCTAAACCTATAAAAGGCGAGATGTGATAAAAAAATCCGTTGAGGAAACGAGCAGTAGAAAATAAAAAATAAATAGACTAAAAATTTCTCACGACAGGGCTATTTACATTAAAAATTTACAACATTTTAAGTTATTAAATGCAATTTTCCCTTAAAATCAAAAGGATTTTTTTTTAAATTTACATGGAAAAAAGATTCAATAATTAAAAATTTTAATTTAATTCATGAAAATAAAAGTAAAGATGCTAAGTTCACAAGGAATCCAAAAACTTCAGCCATCGTGAGACACACCATTGTTAGGTCACTTCACAAATTTCAGGGCAAAATCCGATTGAATTCCTAAAACATTTTTTTGACCAGTAATTTTGTAGCTGTCATCAGGCTGGAATTGTTGATTAATTTAAATGCATTTTCCCGATTGCAAAAATATAATTTATTTAAAAAAATGTATTCTTGCAGTTGATATAAAATACAATTTCCAATCATTGAAAACAATTAAAAAAGCAATATTCACTTTTGAACGAGTGCTTAATTTTATTAGGGCTGATCAAACAAAGCGATAAAAAACTCGCCAAAGAATTTTCAGCCTCGTTGCGCTAATTACATCCAGTCGTTGAAACGCGACGAGTGCGTTGCTTTTTATGCGTCGTCTGTAATGCACGTGTGTGGATTTGCGAAATCAACAGTGAGCCGCCGCCGCTAGCATGCGAAAATTCGTATGAGCCGCCTTGCTTAGAGCCAGGCATTCGCTTTTTTGCTTCTTTCTTGTCGACGGCGCCGCCTTTCTGGCTCTCGATCGGTCTCCTCGTGCGCCCACCTCGCGTAAATAAATGCCCCGCGAGTGCTCTATGAGGAAAACGCGTCTCTGTAACCGCCGGCCGCTTTAGACTTTTAACCTAAAGTCCTCGCTAATTTTACTCAAAGACGAAAACTTTCGGTGAATCAAAAACGAAAAAGCACTAAAACTGATTAAATAATTCAAATTTAAACTCCTAGCTTTAAATTATAGTAAATATTTATAATTTTACTAAAATAATCGCTTTATTATTGTTCAAAATGCCGAACTAAATTAAATTAATTGCAATTAAAGTATGAAAATTCTAAAATTTTTGCATTTTCAATTGCCACTCTACAAGTGAAATTGGAAATAATTCAAAATTTCTTTTATGATTCAATTTTTTTAAGCTAAATTTTGGTCACTATTTTTATAAAAAAAGGAATTTACCATATTTATTTGATTTGCTTTGCTTTGCAAATCCTTCAAATTTTAATTCTCATATCAACTCAGTTTTTTTTTTTGCAATAATGAAAGATTTTGTTTTATTTATTTTTTCATTTAAAGTGTGTTTAATCTTGTGATCTCGATACACGCCCTGATTCTCTCGGTGTCACATGCAGTTTTAACATCCACGGCTTGTAAATTATGCGTGTCGTGGATTGAAAGCGCGCTCCGTGCTCTTCTTGATAGGCGAGCTGCTCTTATTTAAAAAGCATGAGGGTCACTGATATCATTTAGCAATTTAGGATCGGGGCGACGCTCAATAAGAAAGAGAGAATGAGGGCCTGAACGGCCGCACCAGACAACCAGATGAATGCTGATGTGGTGATATTTGAGCTTTGCTTTGAAGATCGGCACAGCTGGCAAATCCGAAATTAAAATCGAGTAAAGATAAATTGATATAAGAATTAATTTTAAAATGAATTAAAAATATCACATCAAATATGTCTGTACAAAATTCAAACTTTTTAAATTTAAATTGCCGAAAAATATAATAAAAGTCTACAATTCCGCATTTTTTCTAATCTGAATTTTATGGGAATTATTTATTTCGTAACAAAAAAAAATTAATCATTAATTTTCCACTTTATTTGAACAGGAAAAGATTTTTATAAAATTTCCTTTCCCAGGCTTGAATCGGTTCGGTGCATTTTTTTTTATTTCCTCCCATTTCCCCTTTTTGGCAAAAAATTAATTCTCGGTCACGCGTGATGAGTATTTCTTTCTTTCTAGTCAAGAAAATAAATGACCCGAGCAAGGAGGAAGGGAAGTTTTGTGGGCCTAATTCATGCGCCTGCCGATGAGCTATTTCCGCCCCAAGTCAAACAAAGAGCAAAGAATGCGACAACAATGCGCATGGATGCGGGTGTGAAGTTTTGAAGATATTTAATTCCGTGCAGGACGCTAAGGTCCTGCTTGTTTATCTTCGGGGAGGCTATTTTGGAAGGGCAGGAAGAGACGCAGGAAAAGAATAAAGGGAAAAACGCCGGCCAACTTCAAATAATGTAAACGTTGCAAGTTCCGACGTCAAACAAAAGAAGAGATTTTTAAAAGCAGTTCACAGCTGTTAGAGGGTGACTTTTATTTAGAGCTTCTTAGTGATGCATTAAGAAATTAGAAAAAAATTCATAGATATTGAGACCAGCAAAATTAAAAATTCAAAAACTTTTTAACTAGTTATTGGGTAACAAAAAAAAAATAATTAAAAATTTATAATCAGACTTTTCCATATATATATTTTTTTTAAACTTTCTTCTTTGAAATTTTGGTTACAAACAATAATCATTTTAAACTATAGTTAAGTTTTCAACAAATTCGAATAGATTTAGAGTCTACTGTATTTTGGTATTTTATTTATTTAAAAAAAATTATTGCTGATATAAATTTCAAAGTGGAATCAGTATAGAAAGTTAATAGAAATAATTAATTGAAAATTCCTTTAATGAGACTTTAAAATATTATTTCTCTCTGTGAACTACAATTAAAGGTGTTTTTAATCTTCATGCCTTAAAACTTGATGTAAAAGTTTTGAACTGGCCGTGATTGACAAATCGGAAACAATTGGAGGCGATTAGTCAGGCGACAAATTAGACAGCTCCGCGCAGACACAATCGATCTATTTTGGGCACCGCGTTTCTGAATTCTCCGC